TTGGACCCAAATTTCCTCTCCTTATTTACTTTAAATAACAATAGAAGAAGACAAGGGATGCACCTACACTGTAGAAATACTGCAGCTTGACACCACTTCAATTGCCATGTCTTCATCCTATAAAATCCTTGTAGTTTGTAGTTTTGGGAGCGACCAGCACTCTTTGGCAGAGAAGGCTTGTGAAACTAAAAATCCCAGGATTCCATAGGATGGAATTGTATAATTTCTACAATGGTGATGAGAAGGACAGCAATGAAAAAGCGAGACAAGATCTTAGAACAAAGAGTCATCCAAGTTAGAATCATCCAAGCCATCCCGTCATGATGGATGGATGAGAGAGGACAGTAAACCTAGACAATAAGGAAATAGAATTGAAGAGTTCCCGTACTTGGGATCAAACATTGATCAGAATGGGACTTGAGTCAAGAAATAAGAAGACTCAGACTGGGAAGCTAGAGTCCTCAAGCTAGAATCATCCAAGCCATAGTATTCCCCATTGCTATGGATGGATGTGAGAGATGAATAGTAAAAAAAGTCAATAGGAAGGAAAATAAACTCATTTGAGATGTGGTGCTGGAGAAGAATGCTAAGGATACTGTGGACATAATAGAGTCCATCCATCAAGCATGAGGCCTTCATTTCTTCCTACTTCCCTCCACCTTTCCTAGCATTGTTTTTTTCCAAAGAGTCCTCTCTTCTCATGATGTGTCCAAAGTATGGCAGCCACAGTTTGGTCATCTTGGCTTCCAGGGAGATTTCCGGCTTGATCTGCTCTAGAACCCATTTGTTTGTCTTTTTGGTTGTCCATGACATCCTTAGTATTCTTCTCCAGCACCACATTATCTCAAATGCATTGATTTTCCTCCTATCTTCTTTCTTGACTGTCCAGCTCTCACATCCATATATGGTAACAAAGAATACAATGGTTTGTATGATTCTAACTTTTGTGCTGAGTTGTATATCTTTGCATTTTGGAATCTTTTCTATTTCTTTCATAGATGCCCTTAATCTTCTGATTTCCTGATTGCAGTCCTCATTTCTATCAATGTTTGATCCCAGGTATGAGAACTCTTTTACTATTTCTATTTCCTCATTGTCAAGGTTCAATTTGTGTACATTCTCTGTGTTCATTATCTTTGTTTTCTTTATGTTCAACATTAAGCCTGCCTTAGCACTTTCTTCTTTGATTTTCCTTAGTAGGTGTTCCAGGTCTGTGAGATTTTGTGCCAGTAGTATGGTGTCATCTGCGTATTTTAGATTGCTGATATTCCTTCCTCCTGTTTTCACTCCTCCTTCTTCTGTGTCCAAGCCTGCTTTTCTTACAATATGTTTTACACTGTAGAAATAATGCAATTTGACAGTGCAGCAGCATGGCCGCAGTTTGTCTATGCCATACATGGAACTGTCCACGAGAGGGCGCCACAGAGAAGCGAGGCGCCTGGAGCTGCTACTCCTCTTCCTAACGGGGACCAAAGTTCTTCTCCTTTGGCCTAAATAACAACATAACATTATTCTGCAATAATTTTTGGTAACCTCTAGATTTATGCGTTTTATCCAAATTTGCCATTATTTTTTCCCCTGCATCCATTCTTTCTTTCCTCTTTTATGATGTCTTAAATTAATACAGTGTTTCTTAAATCAATACAATTTTTTAAAAACTTTTTTTTGTCACCACTGACCGCTCTGTCTCACACAGATACTATCGCTGGGAGCATCTACACCAGGGGTAGGCAACCTTTTCGAGCCGGGGGCCGGGTTACTGTCCCTCA